CTATAATATTTTAATTTAAAAATTAAATACTATTATTAAATAATGACATAAATTTAATTTTAAATTTTATTAAAAGAATTTTATTCAAATTTATTACAGCTTAGTATCACATTATGGTATTGTGATGCTAAATTTTGCATATTTTCTAAGAAAAAATTAATTTTATTATGATAAATTTCATCAAATTTTACCTAAAATATTCATAAAATTTAAGTAATACTTATTCTATGCGTTTTTCCAACAAAAACATCTTTACCTTAGAATAAGATATATGAAAACAAAATGCTACGAGACTAAAAATCTCGACGAAAACATCTGTAAAACTGTCATCAATAAAAAAGATAAGACGATAAGAAACATTTGTATGTATATGGATCAAGTATTTTATATGTGGTATATTCTCAGTTTCACAATAACATCGTTTAACTTTATTCTTGGCAGCAAAGTTTTATCGTCAGTGCTATTGAACATTTCATTTTAAAAAGTCTTGTAATAACATTTGAATACAAATAGCTTAATAAAAACAGAAATTCTAATGAATCAGTAAAAGAGAGATGAAAAAACGATAAAGAAAATATTTATTTATTGATATATATAGAAAGTAGAGGTTCAATAAAAATATTAATTCATATATGTTAATGATTTAATCTCTCAAAAGAAAAAACCACAAAAGTGAAAAGCAATAATAATATTTTTTTTTTTATCATCTATTGAATAATTTTCCTTCGTAATTTTTCTTCTCAAAGGAGTAAGATTTTTATTATTTTAATTCTCTTCTTGCGTTCAGATTTTTACATTAAGCATATACATAAGATATAACCTTTTATGAATATAATATAATGTTTATATAATTAATATAATATAATTAATTTATAAAAACTATTATATTTATTATTATATTTATTTCTACTATATTGAATATATTTGAAAAAAAAATTATGTACAAAATATAAATATATCTTGTATGTTATATATAGGATGTTATATATATATATCTGCACAATATATTTTTAAAAACTCTATTATAATTAATGAATACAAAATTGGTATACAAAAATGTTAAAGAAAACCGAGACTTATTTATTACTGTAAATAATTGAAATTTGCATTAAAGATGAAACTGTTTTACTTTTGTCTCGCTTCATCTAACGCAAACATAAATTATAACATAAATTATAATATAATAAATTATAATAAATAACCAAAACCAAATCTCAATCAATGCTTTTGTGTTATAATTTTTTCTTTCTTTTTTTTTATTTTTTTTTTTGGATATTGTATAACAAAATTTTTTCTGTTTTTTTCCTGATCCTCTAAAAGAAATACGTTAATATATAATAATATATATAATATATAAAATATAAAAAATTATAAAAAAGAAGATATAATATTATATATATAAAGAATTTCACAACTACCAACCACACTATCTAAATATCTTTTTCAATTATGATAATACGAAAAAATATTATACGTATAATTAATTAATTAATTAATAGCGTTAAGCGACGAAGGATAGAATTCATTATCTTTGTTTCACATTTCATACCTCATACAGTGCATGGTATGAAATTGAAACAATTATTTTTTCATTCTTTTATCAAGATATAGAGAGAGGCGAGGGGAAGAAGTAAGAGAGAAAGTGAGATGGATTTCATCGTTGAACAAATCAACTTTGTTTGATATAATTATTAGTGAGTCGTCATTGCGCGCTTCCATTGAAGATCACTGTTTACGGAACATAAAGTATCGCGCACGGGATCCTCCCTCCTTCTTTTAATTACATCGCGTAGATATAATTAGAGTCATTGTTCCGACGAGCACGGGTTCGTATCAATTTATAAATATCTCTTGAGAATGTCATCTCTCTCTCTTTCTCTCTCTCTCTCTTTCTTTCTCCTTTTTTTTTCTTTCACGATGAATATACTGGGGAAAATTACCAATCGTTTTTCATTTCGAAGAAAAATGACTAAATTGTTATAATTTGATTAATTTTTGTTTGCAAAAAAAAAAAAGGATGGAATATATTTAAGAAGGGGAAAAACGAGAGAATAACAAATGAATTGTGTTTTTTTTAAAATGAATACACTTATATGTATACCTATGTGTATTTGTCCCTCGTTATTACGTTTTATTACATTACGTAGAATTCTTTGTGCGTTGTTCATTGTTACAAACTATCTCGTTTCGTTAACGTGATTATATGTTTTCTTTTGCACAAAGATAAAAATGTTTTTTTTTTTTTTTCACAAATGTCGGATGTTAATTTAAAAGGAAGAAAAATGTGTTTTCTATTTTTGAGTTGATAGTTTGTGTTTTTCGTACAAAAGTTTATATTCCTAGTTTTTTTACATTCTCATGTTTAATAATTGGCAATTACTCCGTCAAGAAGTTCCTTTTATTACAAGTCTTGATTAGAATGTTAGATTTAACCAAGTGCCATATTCACTGGAAGAAAAGGAAGAAAACGTCCTCCATTTCAATGACAAAAAGAGCAAAAACAGTATTTAATTAAAGTAATAATTTTTTTTTTTTTACTAAATAAAAATATTAATAATATGATTTAGCATAAAATTTTATGGATAAAAAATTAATTAATTATTTAATTATAATTGTTTTAATAATATATTTAAATAGTTTTTTTATAATAATAAATTTATGAATTATTAAATATATATATAAATAATTATTATACATGTAAATATGTATGTAAATTATTATATGTGTAAATTTATAAAATTAAAATTAAAGTAAATTTATTTATTTAATTAATTTAATTAGTTAATAAAATATTTTAAAAAATTGTAATTTTCAATATATCATTATCATACAGTGTATTATTATATTTTTTTTTAAATAATTAATATATGATAACAATACTGTTAATAATTAATATTTAATAATATTATAATTATATAATTGTTAAACAATAATAATAATAATAATTTCAACTCTTGTATAACCATATAAAGAAGAATCATAAAGAAATATATATCATTGCGAAGACAATTTATATTCTTGCGAGTAAACGAAAACGGAAGTTTATCATTATGATACATTTTTTAATCGTTTATCGAATTTTTATATACGATATTAAATATAATCGAATTTTTACATACGATATAAAATTGATTAGACCTTTGTGACTTTGCGAATACATATACAAACATATAAAAGTTAATCAAAAAAAGAAGGGAAAAAAGTCGCAGATAAAACTCGGATACATATAAACTTTGAGAGTAAACCATGAACTTCTTTTGTCACCATTTTTATTTACGTTGTTAATTCATCTTTCCATGGCTGTATTAAACTGCAATAAAGATATCTTGAAGATTTTTCTACGATTATATTGAAACGATGATTTGCTACGTGACATATGCAATGTAATCATTTTTAAAAAATTTTTGATATATAAATATTTGATACATATACATATTTTGAAAATGTTAATTAGTTTTCATGACTTTTGAAATTGTATGTTATATTATGTAACAGTTGATTTTATTTTAATTCAAATAAACAAATTAATAAAAGCGTCATAATTATTAAGAGATAGAGAATTGCATGATTGCTTTAAAATTAGTGATTATAATTTTTTAATTTAAGTAATTGAATTCTAAAATATTGTATTGATCTGTAGTAGATTTCTTGATTTTAAAACAGATTAATATTTTCATTCCTTAGTATGATATGAGTTTTTCATTCATTATATAGTTTTTAAATAAAATTCCTAATTCTAAATAGTCTTTTATAGTATCTTAAATATTAAAATTTATAAATATTATAAATAAGTTTGTTTTTCATATAAATTGAAATTAAAGAGATTAAGATCTTTAGAATTAAGATGGATATTAAATCTCAAAGATAATAATGATTCATTTGTTTGTGTCTTGTTTTCTTGTTTTTTCATTTTATCATAATTCTTGCCAAGTTTCTCTTTTTCATTAATTATATTATTTTGCTTTATCTTTTAATATAATTTACTTGTTTTACTTGTTTCAATATGATATATAATCATATTCTTTTTTTATTTAATATATCTATTTATACTATAATTCATATCTTATGATCCTAATTGATTCATAATTGCATATCAGTAATCAATATATAAAGATTGATTGTGATATGCTTGCTTGTATTTTAATAGTTTGATATTAGGATTGATATATCTATGTTAATTTTTAATGTAATGTAATGTTTTTCTATGTAATGTGTCATATACTCATGTTGTGTTTCGTATTTTTTATTGTATCTAACTCGTTTCATTTTAAATGTACATTTTCTTTGTTACTCGATCTCGATCTCTATTGAATTATGTAAGAAAGAAAAATTTTTTAAATTTAGAATGTATCTAAATAAGTGATATGATGTATATCATATTATATGATCATATGAATATGGAGAACTTTATTGGATTCAGAAAAATAGAATTGCTTTCTATCTTTTATTCCATAAATATCTTTGCACATTTTACGAATCAAATAAATACTTTTTTTTTTATTGCAATAATTTTATCTATATATGCGTCTATTAAACTGTATATGCAACTTGGTCCAAGATACATTTTCGATTTTTCAATTACCAACAATAATTTTCATAGACAAAATCTATCTCTATATTAAAAAATTTTCAATATACGTTTATTGAGAAAAATTAAAAAACAAATTAATTATTCGCGAATCTCTTCATATTTTCCATTTTTATCTAATCTTTATACAATTTACATTATTTGAAAAGAAACATTATTATTATTATATTAATTTTTTCTTCCAAAGTTATTTTTAGCTTCAACTTTTTCGTTTCGAAGAAATAAAAAAAAAAATATATAAAAAATACGCAAATGATTGATTTATTTCTTATCATTAAATGCCCAATAATTGATTGATCGATTCCTCCACAATCTGTAATTACATGTCAAAATAATTGATCATAAATAATCAATAATAAAAAATAATTTTTTAATAAAAACGTACTAATGGAATTACATTTACATTTCACAGAGGGACGACACGAGTTTACTCGCACAATTTTTCTATGCCGACGAATCTTTGAACGCTGTTGCCTGCGAGTTGGACTCGTTCGACGGCCGCCAGGAACCGGAAAGATGCACCACGCTGGTCAATCAACTGCGCCATTGCCAGGACAAGGTGTTGACGATATGCAGCCAGATAATGGACGAACTGATACCGGAGAGCAGGGCGAACCGGGACTTTAGGGTGAAATTTCCTGATGACGTGATGCAGGAGAATCTTGCGGGCCAGCTGTGGTTCGGGGCGGAATGCTTGGCGGCCGGATCCTCGATCATGAACAGGGAGGCTGAAAGTTCAGCCATGAGGCCGTTGGCGAGGGCTTTGACGAAGTCTTTGGACATCGTCAGGAATTTGCTCAGAGAGCACGCGCTGAAAGGTCACATGAACCTGAAGGTATTTATCGGACGTGCTTGTTCAAGTGTTAACAATGAGTCACATAATCCTTTTACGCTGGCCTCGGTTAGTAGACTCGAGTTCACTTACCAGGCTTTATCATCTTATGTCAAGTTGGAATTAGTATTTTGTTTCTATTCGATTTTTTTTTTTTTTTAATTTTAATTTTAATGTCTAATGAAACAAACATTCTATGAAAATCTTTGTATATTTTTAAAAAAAATGAATTTACATTTTTTAAAGAAATGAATTTTTATTGATATAAAAATGTATCATCAAATATTTTATTTTCGACATTGTAAATATTATTGATAGATAAATATTTACAGATACAATATTAATTTATATATATTGATAAGCTTTAATTTGCTTTAATTGCTTAAAATGCTTTAAAAAGAATTTTATAAAATATATAATTCGTTGTTCTTTCATTTGTTTGAAATATTTCTATATGATAATTTGTTTTATTGTAAAATGATTAATTAATATTAATATTAGTTAATATTAATAAATGTAAATATTTATTGAGTCCTGTATTTATCGTATGTCTCAAGCTAAAAAAATTTGTATCAAAATTGTTATTTCTTTGAAGTATGTATATATCATCAGTAGTGAGATGAAATAGGTTGTCTTTGAAATATGTATTTCATCATATATATGTTCTATTTTTCTTTCCTAGCTGTCGATCTTAATGATTACGTAAATGCATTTGGGGCAAATATTGAACCCTAAAATATTCAGGTTAGTCAAAGGAACGTGGACTGCGTTAGGTTCTGGATTATATACTGAGCTTAATTTATTGCGTATGCTCTTACAGGATTGCGTCAAATATGTATCACTAAGCACTCTAAAAGCAATTTAGTTTGTAAATATGTATATTGAGAAATAGTTTGTTTCTTCAAAAATAAATTAATTCTTTTTGAAATGAAATTAAATATTGCTAATGATGAATTATTTTTAATTAGATTAACTTTAATTTTTACATACGAATATACGAGTTTTTCATTTCTACGTAATTTAAATTATATTTAAAATTTTATTTCAATTGTTTCATAATTAATGAACTTTTATTCTTATATATTTTAAAAAATAAAATTTCATAATAAGCAAGAAATAATAATTTAATTTAAAATGAATTTCGAAGATTATTTTTTTCTTTAATTTACATAATTTTTAAATTACAAAAATACATCTTTTGAAGAAATTTTTCGTGCGAGAAATACATTTCGAATTTACTTTTCAATGCATACTTTGCATTATCGAGTAGATACAACTTTCTCTTTCGTGCAATACTCTTTCGAGGACATAACAATTATTGAGTACAATTTTTATTTAATAATAAATAATTTATATTAAATATATTATTTTATATTTTGTTAATATTATATCGATTAATTGATTATTTAGTAATTTTTCATTATATGTCTGAATAGCAAAATTTTTATCATACATAAATTTGATCGATATCAAGTTTATGTTTACACAAATATATCATATTTAATATTATATTACGTAATATTGTTCTTGGCAGCAAACATTTTTTAAATTTTATAAGAAAGCAATAACATCGTAAAAAAAAGAACATATTGGGTCACTAAAATTTATGCATGTTTTTGCGCGTGTTAAGAACATGGAATCATTCCAGCAAGACAAAAGAGATGTCGAGGCTGCTAGTTTCAGAATCTTCATGTATTTGCATTTTAATGGTAAATTTTATGCCTGTCATAATCGAGCTTTTTAAATTATTTTTACGGGTTATATTATGTTGTTTATTCAAATTAAATATATAATTATTAATAATATATTTTTATTATTTGTAATTA